GATGGATACTAGCTTGGTAATAAGATCACATCACTGCTCAATGCACTCTATCCTCCAAGCCACATATTTACTTTCACTTTCAACTTAACAAAGTTTGAATGAGCACTGGCCTTTTTTCAATTACAAAATGGTGCAAAGAATAATCCTCCTGAATGGTGCATACATGTAGCTGGTTTAACACCTTAAAGGGATCCGGTAACTTTGTCTCAGATTCTGAAACAAAATCTTGAATTTAGCTCATGCTGCAATGATAATTATAAACCTTCAGGTCAGCCAGGAACCCAGTGACTTTTACAAGCCGATCGCCTGTCTGATTATCAAGATATTTATGATTGGAATTACAAATTTTACACTACAGTGAGTACAGTCTATTGGGTAAACGAGTATGGTAAAAGCGGTCACTCAAAGATTTTTACTTTTATGAGGCACTTCTTGATCATTTTGAAGTGGGATTTTTTAGGGCTTCAATATTACACCATATCACAGACACTGATAACATGTAGGGCCGTACATCTCAGATTGAACATTGTTAAACGATCCCTTTAAGTATGTAATCTTTTTAAGTACCGGTACCTTGCATATTTATTGTTGTCATACCTTGATCAAAAGTATTGTATATGTATACCTTATAAACTAATTATTGAACCTGGCCATCATGCAGTCCCTAACAATCCTGTTCAAGCAAGAGCTAATCATTACAACTTGTTAAGTGTAGCAACCGATCTTAAGACATTTTTGTTCATATGATGGCAACAGGTAAGGAACACATGAAAGATGAGTACCATCTCTACTATATAAATGTGATTTTAGTCTCTATTTGGTATGGTATTAATAAATCAATTCCCTTAATAATTTTGGAGGCGAGTTCTATATTCCTAAAATCAAAATTTGAGGATAAAATGTAAGATTTTTGGTACATTACACTTTTCATGTTATAGTCTGTCATACTAGTACATTTATGCATATTATCTTAATAAACCTTTTTAAAAAAGATATCATGAATAGGAATGTGAAGAGTGTTGAAATGATAGTTTGAATGCAGGAATTAAAAGCAATTCAATGTGCTATTGTGCTGAAAGAAAAGCAAGATTCATACAAATTATGGAAATCTTTGAGTGTCATTGTAATCTTGGAAAGTAGTGGAATTCTTGCATGGGAATATATAACACTACTAAACAGTATGTTTGATATCATCATAACAAAGAAACAGAATGATGGTAGTATTGGATACAAATTGCATTCCTGCTTGGAGGATGTTATTCAATCACATGACATTGCTACATGTAAGTTGATTTTCTATCAATAATTCAGGCTCATTTAAACTAGATAAAGGAAAATTGTTATGAATGGTATTAAACCTCTCGTTTCCATCACAAATACCAAAGTACATCAAAGTGCATCAAGAAGCATCTTTTGTGTGTGAAATGTTGGTTTGATATTTAACTACTCCTTTGAATTTCACCATTCATCACAAAGCTTAATAATGATAGCTATGATGAGCATATCAATTATTAATGTTGAGACAAGCAAATACTTCTCTTCCATAAAACGTTGTAATACATACCAAAAAGGACAGGAACTTTGCTGTCTAAAGTTATAAAGAGATTGATTAATTTAAAAGAAAATTATTATAACAAGCTATATTTTATCCCAATATCCATGGCAATTCTTTAATTTAAAAAAAAGTGGTAATGCATAAGTTTTCATAATGTACAACAACAAATTCATCAAAAGTGATCCATAGTCAATAAAAAGAAATATTTTGTCTTTTCCTACTTTACATATGTTTGCTTCTTTTTATTTTTGTTAACCTGTTACCAAAATTCAATAAACAAGTTGAGAGAAACAATGCCAGAAATTTAATCATCTTGTCTTGGAGGATAAATTTCAATTTAAGATCTAAAAATAACTCCCTACAAGGAAGGCATATAATACAGACTGAGGTCACTATTGTTATTACCATTGGGGCTTCTTCTTATTGGATAGTATGCTGCCAGGAGACATCGGAAATTTGATTGAATTTGTTCAAGTCAAGCTACATGCATTCACATTACGCAGCTTTTATCAGCACAAAGCTTTTTGGAAAATATATTGCACACTAGAGTTCCTGTGTAAATTGTGTAATGTCAAATTTTGAAGAAATGAAAGATACGGTAATTAAATATTAAACTGAGAGTCTCTACATGTAATGTTTTTTAGAGTCTCTAATGTTCTTGTAGAGTTTCTAATGTAATATACATATTTCAATGTTGACAAATCAATTGTAACTGTATTTTATGTTCGAAATATGTAATGAATGTATTTAATAGACCTTAACTTGAATTGAATTGTTGAGTCTCTAATGTTCTTGTAGAATCTCAGATGTTCTTGTAGAATCTCAAATGTTCTTGTAGAATCTCTAATATTAATTCTTGTAGAGTCTCTAATGTTCTTGTAGAATCTCTAATGTTCTTGTAGAGTCTCTAATGTTCTTGTAGAATCTCTAATGTTCTTGTAGAGTCTCTAATGTTCTTGTAGAATTTCTAATGTTCTTGTAGAGTCTCTAATGTTCTTGTATAGTCTCTAATGTTCTTGTAGAGTCTCTAATGTTCTTGTAGAATCTCTAATGTTCTTGTACACTTCTACTCTCAATATGTGCCAACCTGAAGTAGGTATAAATGAGTTATATGTATGTTTATCATCCTCATTCCAAATTATTCCAAACTATTGCTAAGCAACCAAACATAATATCGTTTCTGTCCATTGGTGTCAGAACTTTAATCAAAGGTCATTAGCTGTGTCCATACATTATTCAGTAAACTATATGTGTGTTTATAGTCAATAACTCAGAAAGATATTTAAAGTTCTGAACCTACAGCACTATTCAAAAATACATCTACTGCATTGTTGAATAATAATCTACATGTATTCTCTAGGAAATATTCTTGGTGTGAATGCATTAATGATGATGTATCACTACCGGATAAAATACAAAGGTAGAATGGAGCTAGAGAAGGTTGATCATATCACATGCATCCTGATGTACAGGAAGCAATAAACCAAGGGGTGTCTTTTTATCTTCTATCACTCCCTATGGTACAGTGGAGAGATCTGGAAAAGCTACATGTACTAACAGCCCGAGTGACAGTTGGTTTCTATTTAAATTCTGTTCATTTAGAAAGCATGCCATCACTCTTCTTTTATCTCATTTCCAGGGAACCTACGCTTTTAATTTTTTAAATTTTTTTAAATGTTGAATTTTAAAAAGGGTTGGTGTTGATTAACACCCAATAATTGAACATTGGAAGTTATTGACTTTTACTGTGGCTCACTGATTTGAATTCTTTTCACTGTAATACATCAACTAGTCACACTATTTAACAATCTACAATAGTTATTGACATGTATTATCAGTATAAATGATGAAAATTCTTTGAGGCGTGCAAGCAAGGGTCCAGGCTTTCAGTGCCACATGCAAATCGACACCACATGTAAAATTTGCAAAGATTAATTGCACATTAGGCGTGTCTGCACTATCTCGAGATTGCCAAATATCCAGCTATTTTGAACTATCCCGATCAAAACTATCCAGCTATTTGCGTCTTCATTAGACCGAAGTGGCAAATTAGCTGGATAGTTGGTCGGGATAATATCCCAAGATATCTCGGTCTAGTTTGCAAAATATCCTTCTATTTCCGAACTAGCGGGATAGTTTGCGACCGTCTTCATTAGACCGAAGTACGGAGTCAATTATCCCGATCCCATCATGCACAACGATTTCCGGTTCGCACATGCGATCTATACCGCTCAGCGCTGATCTCGCAACCACTGACCTCGAGTAAACACGGAAAACCGCAAACTAGACCGAGATATCTTGGGATATTATCCCGACCAACTATCCAGCTAATTTGCTACTTCGGTCTAATGAAGACGCAAATAAGCTGGATAGTTTGCGATCGGGATAATTCAAATAGCTGGATATTTGGCAATCTCGAGATAGTGCAGACACGCCTAATGGTCTCTCACTTTCTGGATCTACAGCAGCTAGGCCTTGAGACGCTGTACTGTATATGAAACCAGAAAAGAATTTCAATTAAACTCGGCTTAGACTCAACCTTTTTCTTTACAGTGAATTTAACAAAGGATGTTTTATTACACATCAGGAATGTAGGATTTTAAAGGAGAGCAATTTCCCATGCACTTTGAAATAAGTCAGTAAACCTACTGACATGTTTCATTGTTGTAATCTATTTTTCTTCCAATTTGAATTTAAGCTTAACTAAATATATGCTATCGATTGTCAGTTTTATCCAATACCATTTTTCTACAATCAATAATAGTAGCTTTGATGTAGTGTTACTTAGGGCGCATTCATGCTTGATTTTGAAGGCAGAATGAGCGATTTGTAACGCTCATCGTAAACGCTCATCGTAATCGCAGTTCCACGGTGCACTGTTCATGCTCACTTCTCCAGGCAATTCTCCTTGGGTGGCCTTCAGCTGGATTCGCAAACCTGTGTGCGCATGCTACGTAGACCCACTAGAGGTCAGTGCGTTGACCCCATTTAAACGTGTTTACAAATTGTAAACGCATCTTTTTGTGAGTTTACGATCGGCGATCGTGATCGCCGTTTTTCGGTGATTCTACAAAAGTGAGCATGAACGCAAGCGTGTTTTAAACTAAACGCGTAACAGATGCCTGATTCTGGCCGTCAAAATCAAGCATGAACACGCCCTTAGATAGTTGTCGATAATTTCAAACATGTAAATCCTACTCCACCTTATCCTTATCTCACTACTGAATCAACTAACTTGCTCTTATCAAAGAGATATCTCCTTGCTCTTATTAAGCTTCTGTAAAATGCTAAAATACACATTGGTAGAAAGCTAAATTCCTAGCAGAGCTATCATTAGACAATATAATGAATCGTTTGCCTGCTACCAGAAATTCTTTCAGTTATACGTCATTTGTTTCCCATCTTGTGAATCAAGTAAAACAAAAACAAACAATTTAAACAGTACCTGTACTCCTGCTTCGTGTCTCATCCTCTACAAACAGACCAACAGGGAGATGTTTCTATTCGCTTTGTATCAGAAGAAATAGTACTATACAATCCTTGGAATATATCCTCTGTTTCCTAGGCACACAGATGAGCATATATTCCTTATCCGAATGCTAAAGACTTGAATTCAATTAAATACAACTAGATCAAACTTTGTCCACCTGCTTGATTATAAAATATAGTCCAAATAAACAGGGTTCTTCTTCAAAATATGCTCAACGAATTTTCAATAAGATTGAAAGTTAATAAGCTACGGTATGTTAGCTGGGCGGAGATGAGGATGCATATACATGTAGCATTGATCAGTGTCCCCAGCCTACACATCAATAATCCTGTAGTAATGAATTCAGCTTGATTCCTTTTTAGCAGTTCACCGATTCTGAAAGAGCTCTGCACTAAAATAGATGGTAGAGTGCTCGATGGAGCGACTGAAGGAGTAAGTGTGTGTGCCCACCGCTAACCACCTCTATGCAGCTACCTGTACATTGAAACTACTCTGAGGTAGATACACACTCACACACACACACACACATACACACTCGCACCCACACAACCACCCGTAGTCGCACTAATGCACGTACTGTAATTGCATGCTTAATAAACATTGATTCATCTTCCATCTAGCCTGCCTGCCTGCCTGCTTGCTTGCTTGCTGCCTCGCTAGCTAGCTAGCTATAGCTCTGTATGGTGGTTAAGAGAATCTCATTATCATCAGAATCATTGATCCAAAGCTAGACTAGCTGGCAAAGAGATGACACAAGCACAGATATAGATGGAGAATCAGAAAGAGAGATGGACAATGAATTACAGCATGTGAGGGAAAGAGAAATTATGAGCTGGAGTCAGGTGGAGTGAAAAGACAAAGTCATGATAATATTAATTTTAAGCAATAGAGACTGAAATGCAACTGAATAAACAAATTAAAAAGGCAACTGACAAAAATACACATTCGTTAAAGGGGTAATTATACTTTGACTATCATGATCTGCATAGGGATATTTCAATATCATTACGTGCTATACATAAACAGAATATTGTCATTGTTATTATGACAGAGAGAAGAAAGATTGATAGAAGAGATCAAGGGTGCTGGAGAGACAAAAATAAAGAGAGAATGAGGAGGACAGAGAGAGAATATTAGATATACAAGTAGACAGATAGATAGAGAGAGAGAGAGAAAGAAAGAGAAAGAGAAATAGAAAGAGAGAGAGAGAGAAAGAGAGAGAGAGAGAAAGAGAGAGAGAGAGAAAAACAGAGAGAGAGAGAGAGAGAGAGAGAACAAAAAGGGGGGGTTATGACCTAATGCTAATAGAATCTTCTTTGAATGTCATTAGTAAATGCAGCTGTAGATTGCCCAAGCTGTTATTAAATTCACCACTTTAACAAAGAGTCTACCAGTCACAGTGGCACTGAGCTACAAAATATAGACCTCCATTCCCACCATGACAAACTAAGGTAATTAACTGGATGTACATTAACAGACATTCAAGTAGATATGCCTCAATTTAGAAACACTCACGTCAAATATTTCCCTTTTTTGATGACACAAACATATTTCCAGCAAAACATTTAGAGCATATGTCATCTGAATAACTAGAGAAAGAAGGATAAGTCTAGCGTGCATCTTATGAAATGATTCTCCATTGGAAAGGCATCCCTTTCAAAATTTCAAACATACTCTGCAAAAATAAGGGAAAATTGATAAACATAAATCAGAAATACTGGATATCTAACATCAGAACAGGCCATGATAATACAAAAAATGGGCCTTTGATTTCAATCAACTGATTTGATTTAATCTTATGATAATGAGAAGGAGAATGAGAACGTGATTGAGAATGGCTCCATTTAACCCAAAAGCTAAACAAAACAAGACTAGGGTTGTCATAAATTCAAACTGTTTTCACTCTGAAATATCCATTAAATTCACTTTTTTTTACAAATAGTATGAATCTTCACAGGTGGAACCATACCTGACAAAGAACACAATAATCTCCATGTACTAAGAATACATGGATGAGCTTGAATTAAGGGCCAGTCATGCATAGAGCAATAAGTGAGATTTAGAATTAATCTTTAGACCGCAATCAAAATCTTACTTTTTTCATAAGAAAACTATTTTTTATACTAACAGTTATGTGTACAATTTGGATCATATTTCAATGAACAATATGAAAAACTGAGATTTCTTACTGGTTCGCCGTACAGATTGGTGATCAAAGTCAAAATTGAATCTCACATATTTGTTAGTGTGAATGTGCCTGATATTTTCATCTATATACAAAACGTGTTTGTGATTTCAGCTTTGGGCTCTGGATGGGTGGGTGTTTAGTGAAAACCCTCCTACTCCCCTCCAACAGGCTGTGATTTTTATCATATCATGAATAAGATATGCCCTCAGCAATGAATAGGAAATCTTCTTTTAACACCTTTCCTTTCGCTCGCTGGTAAAACTAGGATCTTGACAAGTAGACCGTCTATTTGTGCAGGTGGTACTTACCTGAAGAGTGGTCTTCATGTGATATATTATCATATATCATCTACATGTATAGGAGATAATATACACTCCATGTTGTATGATAGGACATAAAATAAATTAAATCTACCTATAAGAAGTATAAAACCATCTACAGTGGCATAAAATGTAAGTGCATTAATTATAACTTTTGCAAGACAGTGAAATTTTATCCTACTAAATTCTAACCCCTTTCAATAGTTATGTTATATATCCTCTTTCATTCACCATAGGCTCTTAGAATTGATAAAAGTTTAAATTTTGAATTTTTTTCACTTAAGTTTTTTTTTTTAAAGCAGGTCACAGCAATAAGAAATGCCATTTTGTTTCTTGAAGTAAAGAGAGAAATCACGTACTAGCACCACTATCCACATCTATTTAAGTCCTTATACAGAGAGCCATGCATCTTCATTGTAGAATAAGAGAAGAGTATGTGCATGTACATATCCTTCTAGACTCAGTTGTCAATCTTCTGTACAATCAAGCCAAGTCGCCTTGCATCGTGTCTCAGTCATGGAACTGACATTTCATCTTTCCCTCTAGGGGTTTTAATGTCTCATGACCAATAATCTTAGATCTTATCATCTGACTCACTTACAGTGTCAGTCAATAACTAAACATCTACATTTCTTTAAATAGATAACTTAAAACATTAATTACATTAATACATACATGAAAACAGACGCCTACTCATAACTATCATGAAGATGCTAAATGATCGCATTGCAATGTAAATGGAATCCTATAAAAGTTTGCAATCATTTAAACGATCTGAATCCTGTGATCAAAGAAAAAATCCCTAAATGCATTCCCAAGTAGGGGACAACAGTAATTCCTTCAAGATTATCTGCAATTAATACATGCAACTATTTTATTTCATTTCGTAAGCACAATATATCAGGCTTCAATTTATCCTTTAAGATATCTCTACATTCCAATTAATCCTATTGACTAGATAATACAGGTTGTCTGTGGTAGGGTATGACAGGTGTCAGCTCTCTCATATGATAATATCTGGTTATTGTCTCTACCATGCAATCACACACACACACCCACACACATACACACCATACAAATGACACGCATAATTGATCATGGACAAACAATAGCAGTGTGGGTAGTACATGTACAGTGTATGTTGTCATACCACAAGCATGAACATCATGCAATCAGTACATGAATACACCGTGACAGATACACATAATATTCAAAGAGCCCCCAATTCTAATAATGCCTGCATAAATACATGTGGTCCATTTTTTTTAAAGGTGCATTGGGGATTCCATGGATACCCTCATTTTTAATATTTGCTTAGTCTTTTTTCTGTTCCCTCAGCTGTGATATCACCTACACTGCCAACACATTAAATGAACAAGCAACCTACCCTGATATTTTCTTTCAAAAACCATTAAACTTAAAATACATGATGTATATCATTACAAACGATAAAACAGGAAGCACATTTAATACATGTAGCATGTGTAGAAAGTGCAATGTCATTATGCGACTGTCTTAACTTCAACTTCTTATATTCAGTATCTGGCAAATCACAGTTCTTACAGTATGAAGGGAGTTGAGAATATTGTAATATATAAATATTTCTCACTGACTGAAAGAGTTAAAGGTAATGCAAAGTTTTGGGAATCTTGAAAGTTGGATGGACAGTAATTCTTTAAAATGTTGATATATTTGGATGCCCCTGTGGATTTATTATAAGCACTAGAAAATTTAGCCCCTAAAACACTTCTGCTTTTGAGGAAATTGAATAATCAAAATTTACCCATGCTCCTGGTAGATTTCAAATATTTCAAAAAGCGCCTAAGGCCATCCATGGTAGCTGCGACCATGAACATCTCAGAATATGCAGATCTGATACATAATTTCCAAATGGGAATAGAAAATTGGTTGACTGTAGTCAAGAAACTGGTATTAAAGCTAAAGTAATATCAGTCTTGAGAGGGAGCTATACAATATAAAGAGTTTATTTTTTACAATTTCATCACTTTAGACTTGATTTCAACTGCGACAACAATCATTGAATATTGTAAAATTGCATATGCTTCCAATATGTTCATTTGAACCAAATTCATGACCAAATACCAAAACTTAGTATTATCTTTAATGGAAAGCAATATCATTGTCACTTGCATAACATAGACATTAGAAAATACAAGTGAATATCAATTATACAAGGAAATTTGTTTTTGAAAATAGAATGCTTCTCTCACACAAAGTCAAGTATAACGGGGTTAATCCAAATGGTATGGACTGAATACTTGATTCATACAATTCTCAAATAACAGCATGGTACACACTTGACTAGCCAATGCTCTTATTATCTTGCTCAGTATCACTGAACAAATGAATTAAGTTTTGAGTAAACTTTAAAAATGTCAGAGGTTAGTTTATTTACTTAATAACTATGAAAATATTGACACAGGGAGTGATATATGGGTTAGGATGAAATTTGGTTCATAGGTGCACTTTTTATTTTCATATTTAAACCGAATTGGAGAAGGAAAAGGTAAACAATCATTAAAGGGAACGATTTATCTCAGAATGGTTTAGTTCCCTAGCTTGCTATGTTACATATCTTGAATTGAAAATGTAATGTGATTCTAACAAAAACAATTATAATGATACTAAAGTTTTAAATATTGATGAGTTAGTCATTTTTCAATAGTCAATCTAATAAACTTGATATGTTGGTAAATATTTTACATCATAAAATCTTTGAGATAATTCATTCACATACCAATCGTGTGCCTAAGGTCTGTACTTGTATGAAGTAATAATAATAATATTAATGATAATATTAATAATTATAAGAGATTAGTTTAGATTAAAAGTCCTAGTTGTAACTAAATTATTTCCATTGCAGTTTTCTAGCTTCTCTGCTCAAATCAATGCAACCATCTTGCTGCAATTATGTGAATGTGATTTCCATCAAATCTTGATATAAACTTTTAA